GCTTCTCCCTCTGACCCTCCCCCCTCTCATGAGCTCTCTATCTCTTATTCTCTCTCTCTCAAATAAATAAATAAAATCTTAAAAAAAAAAAAGGTGTTTATTGTCCTGTAAAAAAAAAAAAAAAAGAATAAATACTCCCAGTCCTGATGCCCTGAAGGTGGGGACAGCAGGAGGTGCAGAGGCTTCATGTCTTCCTTCTACTTATGCCCAACTCAGTGCTGCTGTCAATCTCAATCAGCTCACACTTAGAATCCCTGGTTAGTCATGCTACCACCAAACCACCTCGAATCTTACCCGCCTCCAGTCTTGCACTTCAGCTTCAGAACAGAACCAGGAACTGTCTCATTCTAAATCATATACCGAACCACGACCTGAATTTAATCTCTAGTATGAATCACAGCTCCTGCCTCATTTGTTTACCCCAAACATAACTGGATGAGAAGCAACACATACCCACATGGGAGTAAGAATACCCAACTTGCTGAACTACTAACTCTGAGGATGGGAGTGGGAGGGGGAGTGACTCCGAGAAAGAATCCGGTTTAGTGTTCCACAGAAAACGACCAGAACTGCAAAAAGCAGAATCAAAGCCTGGTGAGCAGACCTTCTCAGGTTATGGTTTAGCTCTGGATACTCCACACTGTAGCGCAAGAGGATTCCTTGTGGAATATATTTTATTAGAATGAAACCTATAATACCAGAAGATCCTTCCTTAACTTGAATACATCCAACCACATTATATGGGGAGACCAGTCATATAAATGGGAAGGGTAATTATTGAAAATATGAAGCAGAGCAGATGATGACAGGCAATCAAAGATCCACATTAATAGAGATTATTTTTTAGTAGGAACAGCCAGAATGTTTCCACTAGAAACCCATTGAACAGCCCTGATGACTCACAGACAAGAGAAAAATATACTGGTGATGACCTGAGGAACACTGAAGGCCTAGGCCCCACTGATGACTACACTACTGAACCCCTGGTGACCTCTGAGGACTACACCTCGGCCGATCTGGGGACCACCGAGGACTACACCTCTGCCGATCCAGGGACCACCGAGGACTATACCACTGCAGACCTGGGGACCACCGAGGACTATACCACTGCAGACCTGGGGACCACCGAGGACTATACCACTGCAGATCCGGGGACCACTGAGGACTATATCGCTGCAGGCCTGGGGACCACCGAGGACTATACCGGGGCAGACCTGGGGACCACCGAGGACTACACCTCTGCCGATCCAGGGACCACCGAGGACTATACCACTGCAGGCCTGGGGACCACCGAGGACTATACCGGGGCAGACCTGGGGACCACCGAGGACTATACCGCTGCAGACCCGGGGACCACCGAGGACTACACCTCTACCAATCCGGGGACCACCGAGGACTATACCACTGCAGACCTGGGGACCACCGAGGACTACACCTCTTCTGATCCAGGGACCACCGAGGACTATACCACTGTAGACCCGGGGACTACCGAGGACTATACCACTGTAAAGATGGGGACCACCGAGGACTATACCACTATAGACGTGGGGACCACCGAGGACTCTTTTACTACAGACCCGGGGACCACCGAGGACTATACCACTGTAGATGTGGGGACCACCGAGGACTATACCACTGCAGACCTGGGGACCACCGAGGACTACACCTCTGCCCATCCAAGGACCACCGAGGACTACACCTCTGCCCATCCAAGGACCACCGAGGACTATACCACTACAGACCTGGGGACCACCGAGGACTATACCACTGCAGATCCAGGGACCACCGAGGACTACACCTCTGCCGATCCAGGGACCACAGAGGACTATACCGCTGCAGACCTGGGGACCACCGAGGACTACACCGCTGCATACCTGGGGACCACCGAGGACTACACCGCTGCAGACCTGGGGACCACCGAGGACTATACCGCTGCAGACCTGGGGACCACCGAGGACTACACCGCTGCAGACCTGGGGACCACCGAGGACTATACCGCTGCAGACCTGGGGACCACCGAGGACTACACCGCTGCAGACCTGGGGACCACCGAGGACTATACCACTGCAGATCCGGGGACCACAGAGGACTATACCACTACAGACCCGGGGACCACCGAGGACTATACCACTGTAGATGTGGGGACCACCGAGGACTATACCACTGCAGACCCAGGGACCACTGAGGACTCTTTTACTGCAGACCCAGGGACCACCAAGCATTACACCACTAAACATCCAGACACTCGCCCTGAGGGAACAGATCCAGTTACCTCAGTGAAACCCACTGGGCTGCGGACACCTATCAGAATCATCTTCATTTCCCTGGCTGCCACCACAGTGGCAATTGCACTCTTTGTTGGACTTGGCTTCTTTGTGGTGAGTATTGGCCCAGGAATGTGAAGGACATTATGGGAAAAGGGGTATCTGAGGAGAAGGCTGTGGGCAGGAGGAGTTGAGGCATGATAAATTATCAGAGGTGAGGAAACCTACATAGAGAGAGCTTTGGAAAGACACAGAGAGAGACAGAGATGGGGAGAAAGGAGGGGAGCAAGAAGCATAAAAAATGAGGACAGAACTAAGGAAGAGAGTAGGTGTTAGAGACAGAGGGGGACGGAGAGAAAGAGGGAAGGAAACGAGAATATGGAGGAAAATAAAGCAGACAGAAAGAGCAACATAAAAGCACAAATACAGTAAGGCATAGTGAGAGCTAGAGCAAGGCATAAACCATTATGTATAAATAGATACAAAAATTTGGAAATTTTCATAAGAAGACAAGAAACTGGTGGTAAGAGGAGAGGAGGAAATAGAAACATTTTGAATGACCCACTCATGTCAAAAACGATGTTATTTTGTATTGATTACTACCCATTCTGAAATTCTGCAAAAGATTTTTTAAAACCAGGTTTGAGTAGGTTTTTATGAGCATGGCTATTCCATATTGGTGAGACAATTGGTAAGAGCTCTCAAAGCGGGGCTCTGGGTATTTTTTTTTTTTTTTGCCTCTGAGGGGCCCCATTGTTTCTACAAGAGGAGATAAAAAGACTCCATGCCAGCCTTGTGGCTTGCTCTTACTGACTTTTGGTCTAAGAACTAAGCCTTCAAGGTCTGACTTCCGCTGGATAGGGAAGGGCTGGTCCTTTTTGGCCATCCTGACCTAAGGATTAAGTTCCCATTGAAATCTTAACAAGTGACAGCTTACATGACTAGCCAGCTCATGCAGATCATTAAAGCCTCATTAATTCTTTTGGTCATTGATGCCACTGTGCACTGACCTCTGCCCCAAGAGGCAAACCCATAGCTTGGGATCAGTTTGTAGGTGTGATTTAAGCTGAAAAGAATGCATTATTCAGTTGGGGTGTTCATGTTTAATTCCACCAGAATTACACTATGAAACTAGAACATTCTGATAGATGGCTGACAAGAGGAAAATGGGAACAATAGCCTCTATATGTACTTGATACACACGTGAGTCAGGTTGAGTATTCACTGGTAAAGGGAGGACCCTCTTGACTTCACTGTTACACAAACAAGTGGATTTCTAATTATGTGCATCATGATGAAGAGTCAGACACTCTTGCTCCAAGTTGGTGGATACTTTCCTCCCTCCAAACCAGGCCTGTAAGTGCTGATACAGAGCAGTCACTAGCAATGGCACCTTCTTAACTTCTTATAAAGACTAAAAATAAGAGATGGTTCAAAAGTCTCAGAGTACAGGGAGTAAGAGGAAAGATTTTGTTCCCAAACTTGCTGAATTCTTATAAACATTTAACCAAAAATGTTTAAAAGAATTATCTATATTTTCATCTTCCCCTCTAATTCCATTTATCAAAATGGTTTTATTTTCCCTATGTGACTTCAAAATTTTTGGAAATTAAGTATCTCTAGGGGTAAGTGTCAAGCTCTAAAGAAAATGGTGACATAGGAATTAGTCATAGAGCTGGGAAGAGGAGCTGGATAGATCTTGATAACTCACCACAAGAGTTGAGAGGAACTGGGGCGCCTGGGTGGCTCAGTTGGTTAAGCGACTGCCTTCGGCTCAGGTCATGATCCTGGAGTCCCGGGATCGAGTCCCATGTCGGGCTCCCTGCTCAGCAGGGAGTCTGTTTCTCCCTCTGACCCTCTTCCTTCTCGTGCTCTCTATCTCTCATTCTCTCTCTCTCTCTCAAATAAATAAATAAAATCTTTAAAAAAAAAAAAGAGTTGAGAGGAACTGTCTTAAAACTAAACCACTTTGGGCGCCTGGGTGGCTCAGTCATTAGGCGTCTGCCTTCGGCTCAGGTCGTGAGCCCAGAGTCTTGGGATCAAGCCCCGCATCGGGCTCCCTGCTCCATGGGAAGCCTGCTTCTCCCTCTCCCGCTCCCCCTGCTTGTGTTCCTGCTCTCACTGTGTCTCTCTCTGTCCAATAAATAAATTCTTAAAAAAAAAAAAACTAAACCACTTTCTTGTCCTCTAGAAAAATTGTTTCCTGCAGCCATTAAATCCACCCACCAGGGTTATTTATTTTCCCCATGCCATGGATTGGAGTGTACCATGAAGAGGATTCCGGCAGTAACTATAATGGGTTCTAGAGCAAATCAGACTGCAGTCTCTGCAGGACCATGAAGCATGATGTGCGTCCTCAGACCTCCACTCTTCTCCCCAATTACAGAGCCCTGGGACCACCAGGGGAGAAAGATAGCTGGCCCTGGGGATAAGCACATCAGGGACACCCAGAAGGAAGCCTGTCTGCTCTGCATATCCCCTAATTCTGTCTGCCCATAGTTGCTTCCTCAGGAAAATTGCCTTTACCTATCTACCAGGTTTAGTCATGAAAACTATTTGAGGGAGACAGACACAACTCAGGTGTAAAGAGATATTCATTAATTCTGATCAAAGAAATAAAGCAAATGTTTGTCTGTTTCTGTCTAGGTCTCATATCTAAATTCATTCATTTAACAAAATGGTGGAGTGCCTAGCATGGGCCAAACACTATGCCTTTCTGTCTAATCTGAGTCCGTGTACTTGAAGAATATGGGCTTTCTGGTCTCTCAATAGCACTACACGCAAGTCCTCTCTACACCCAGGCCAAAGGATTATGTTTACAGGATGTAGCTAATTGGCCATTCAACAAATATCCAGTGAGCACCTACAGCAGGGACAGGCCACTGTTCCTACAGTAACTATACTACAATATAGTTGTTGTACAATATAGTTGCTACAGTAACTGCGGTTCATCTCTGTCATGGTGTGAAATGAAGGACAAAGTCCTGACCCGATCTCTGACTTGGAAGAATATCTGTGCCTATATGAGTCACACAGGGAAGAATTTCTTTCATGGAAAGAGTTTATTTTGTGTGGATTCCTTAGGATTTCTTTTTTTAAAAAATATTTTATTTATTTATTTGACAGAGAGAGACACAGCGAGAGAGGGAACACAAGCAGGGGGAGTGGGAGAGGGAGAAACAGGCTTCCCGCAGAGCAGGGAGCCCGATGCAGGGCTCCATCCCAGGACCCTGGGCTCATGACCTGAGCCGAAGGCAGACGCTTAATGACTGAGCCACCCAGGCACCCCAATAACTGCAGTAATTTAATGTGACATGTGGTATTCTTTTGCTGAAGAATCCTTTCTTCCAACATTAAAATGATACCAATTCCTACAGCACAGTTAAGCAAATCTCCTTTGCCCTGTGATGACTCTGTTTTTTCACAGATTTTCCCATACAAACCATCTCAAGACCTTCGGTCTCTCAGTGTGCTATCAGACTGCCTGGCGTTCACTTAAGGCAAAGGCACCATTAAATGTTAACACAATCCTTGCTCTATTCTTGTTAGTCTGTGACAATTGTAAAGTCTAATCATTTCTATTAATTTTATGTTGGTTTTATATTTAATAGGATCCAGAAAATGCTTACATTGTGATTTTAAAGATTACCTTCTAAAGAAAACGTATGTGGCAGAAACACCTATTTGCTATCCAAATTCCATTCTTTGTTTCTTACTTGGGGAACCCAAGTTTGTGTTGGGTGGCAATGTGCCCATTTCCCAGTGTCCCTTGCAGCCAAGTGTAGGGATGAGATACGGTTCTGGCCAATGAGATGCAGGTAGAAACCTCTGGGGCCGTGTTCCTTCTAACATGAAAAGGCAGAGCGTGACCAGGAGAAAACACTTCACCCCTTCAGCCTTCCCTCTTCTTCCCACCTGGAATATAAGTATGAGACCCAGAGGTGCAGCAAGCATGCTGAGACCAAGAGGAGACAAGTGGGAAGGTGAAGGCTGTCACGCTGAGAGAGGAGTAAAGAAATCACTTGGGTCCCCGATGGTGCTGCTACGGCCTGGCTACTGCCCCCAGACCGTATACGAGACGAATAAAGTGCTGCAGCTTAGTTAGGCGGCATTCTGTAATTCCAGCCAAATGGGATCCTAAGTGATATGACATGCTTTTAAAATATCATAAAGAACATGTGGACTACCATAGCCCCCATTTGGGAAACACCATAGTAGGTCCTTTCTAGTGCTAAGTGCTAATGCATATTATACTCATTATGACCCTTACGATTTGTTGCATGTATCTATGCATGCCATCTCTTTGGATATATAGCTCATCCCTTCATGTGAGTCCAGTCCCTCCTGTTTTCTTTATAAAGTCCAGTGTTGAAAAGAATTCTTTAAGTATTGTTTAGGAGTGGTACCAAATCCAGATGACCCCAACTGGCACATACTGTTACTATGCTGCCCAGACTAAGAAGACCAGGCAAGCACACACCTTACAGAATTGTGCCTGAACACAATTTATGCCTGTTTGGGCAGGTCACCCCTCACAAAAATGTCTGTGAACGCACGTTCTGGTCCCATAACCTGTCTTTACAAACAAGAATGCTTGTGAAGTTATCTAGCAATAGTGATTCAACATCGCCCCTACAGAAGTATTGTTTGATACCTGAGTGGACACATAATTATTTTTCAAATCTAGTCATGACCATTCCTGTGATTTATCTGCAACTCCTCTCTGTGGTCTCTGTATATCACTATATTTATTTCCTTTATGGAGCTGATCACAAGCTGAACTTATCTTTACTTATGTTTTAATTTATTTATTCTGTGTCTCCTTTCACTAGAATCTCAGTTCCTTGAGAATAAGTGTTTTGAGAGCAATACATGAAAGAGTAAACATTCAGCAATCACTGTGCTTCATTCATCCTAAGATGCACATTTCCCCCCACTGCATATAGTTTAAAATGGAGTTTAAAATGGAAATGTGTCTTACCACTGATGGCATCTCATAGTTTAGTTGGCAGCATTTTTCTTTCTTCATTGGGACATAAGGGCTCCTTGCTCAGCGGGGAGCCTCCTTCTCCCTCTCCCTCTGCAGCTCCCCCTGCTTGTGCTCTCTCCCTCTCCCTCTCTCTCAAGTAAAATAAATA